TGGCGCCGCGTAGAAATTGTTAACCGACGTTTCGGAGGAATGTATCGTCTCCATCTTCAGGGTAGAAAACAAGAAGAAATCCGCGAGCGAACCAACTTGAGCAGGTGCAACAGACTGAGTCCAGTCTACCCTGAAGATGGAGGCGATAGGTTCCTCCGAAACGTCGATTAACAATTTCTACACGGCGCCACATCCCAGAAGATGGCTTTCTTCATAGTCACCGCTGTGAAAACCTCAAATCTTACAAATTATATCACCACAAATATTACAAGAGTCAAGGATTCGAATCCATCTGTGTTTCTTCTGTCGATTTCAAATACACGGTAATGTTCGGAAACCAAAAGCAGCAACCTTTAAGGCAGAGGCAAAATTGTCCATGTGCTCATTTAAACATCAAGACACGAAGACGTATGAGAGAGTGGACTTCAGGGGCACTACACGGAGGTGAGCGGTGTGTTTCACAATCCAGCAGTTTCATCCCTGGAGAAAGAACCCCCGGCGCTCTCTGGATAGGAAGTTGGGCGGGTCCTAGAGTTTCATATGGACGCTGTGGAGAGAAACCACTTTTTCCTCCTGGGAATCGAACCGAATCAGGCGGGAAGCTGAGCCGAATATATACAACGCTCCCATACCTGGATTAACCATACAAATTTACAGCCCTTGTGTTATTGTCTTCTCCAATGATAAATCATTTGAACAGTACTAAGCATATAGAAATACGATGCTAATGGACACTATGTTTGTTGTCTCGAAAAATTAGAGCACACGGAATTCTGCCAACAATGTAAGAAACCTACAGATGGCACTAAATCTTTTCAGCCTTTACTTTAGGGTTCCCTATATGCACTTCCCCTCCTCCTTTTCTCCTTCCCATGTGTGCTACATGCCCTTCTCATTTCGTCCTACTTCACTTGATCATTCTAATATCACACGACGAGGAGGACAACTTATGAAGTTCCTCATCATGCAGTGTTCATCCCTCTTAGGTCCAAATAAGAGCTGGGATAGCGCAGTCGGTATAGCGACTGGCTACGGGCTGGACGACCAAGGGGTCGGAGTTCAGAGTCTCGATGGGGGCAAGAATTTTCACTTCTCCGTGTCGTCCAGACCGCCTCTGGGGCCTCCTATCCAATGGACACCGGGGGCTCTTTCCGTGAGGGTAAAGCGGCCGGAACGTGAAGCTGACCACTCACCTCCAACTAGTGCCGAGGTCAAGAAAACGTGGATCTATACATCCACTCCACCATATGTCTTCATGGCGTAATGTTTAATTAGTTAAGCATAGGGGCAACTTTACTTTTACCTTAGGTCCAAATATTCTCCTCAGCACCCTGTTCTCGGACAATCTCATAAGTGAAGGAAGCAATATAATTAATAACAGTCTAAACTACAGTGGAACTGAATAGTTCAGGTCGTTCTGAATGCTTATTTCCTAAAAGTCTGCATACATTCGTTCAATGAGATATTCCTCGTGTTTATCTTGTAACTTCCTGCGGAGGATTCACCGAACGCCGTCACCCATCCTTCCTTATATGCTTTCTAGACCGAACTAACACCATACACGAAAGTGAATATAAACTGCTCAAGGAAATGTGGAACGTGCTGAGTTCGATGTGTCCCAAATACATGGCATTTACATAGCTTATCTTGAAGCTCAATTCACATAAAAAGTCATAATGGCCAAACATAAAAATACATGGCATTTACACAGCTTATCTTGACGCTCAATTCACAGAAGAAGTCATAATGGCCAAACATGACCGTAAAAAAAATCGTCCTAGTAAAACATCAATATGAAACGAAAAGCGTTGTGTTCGACTTGAACGTGGCCTTCTGTCCTGTCTTCAGATGCAGCCTCTGCGAAATGTTTTCGTCCAATTTTATACCGGAAACTTTTACTAAAATTGAGCTTAATCTGGACATCTCTCTTGCAGTACTGCTGAAAAATATATTCTGTCTAAAAGATCAATGGAATTTATGAAATGTAAGAAATATCTATGGCTTCTACATATGCTTTCTCACAAACTTTCAACTCTGCGGGAAAGCATTTCTTCGATGCAAGTCACTTTGGAGGCACTTGAACTTCACTGATGGGTGTTTTGTTTTCTTCGGGAGCAAATAATATCCATGTCATCTGGTTTGTAATAAACGGCACAAGTAAGTCTGAATATCACAACCCTGCTCAGAAAAGTCAAAAGGCCTATAATTTCCACTCTCTCAAGTATTTATGTAAAGTGAAACACTGGGCAATATGGCGGCCTACACGAGTACATTAGTATCATCTCCATCTACAAACCTGTGTCGTGACGGAAACGTCACAGGCTATTTGTGAACCATACATGAGCGTTACTTTTAACAGCGTGTAACTTCATATCACGAAACACTGACTCCCAATAAAAATTTACTAGAGCAAGACGCGAGCCGCCTCTTCCTTTCTGTATATCTTAAGCGCCTGGTGCCTTAACCTGGATACCAGGTAAAGCAACTCCATGTCAGGCGGAGGCAACGCTGATAGCAAAATATTACAAGCATAACCACGGACTAGATGAAATAATATTCATGTTACATGTTTCTATATACGCCGCTTTTGTGGTCTAGTGGTCAGAGTTTCTGGCTACAGATCCAGAGGTCCGAGTTTTTTCTGAGAAGCAGTGGGTCTGGAACGGGGTCCACTCAGCCTCGTGATGATAATTGAGGAGCTATTTCAAGGAAATAGCGGCTCCGGTCTAGAAAACCAAAATTAACGGCCGTGGGGATTCGTTGCGCTGACCACGCGAAACCCTCTATCCGCAAAAGTTGGCATTAACTTCGATGACAAGCTGCGGTCGCTCGGTCGGTATAGTTCGCTTGCGGACTAAAATCACGGAGTTTGCTGTTTGTTTGGTTTTGTTTGTATACAAGGGACTATGTTTTCTTACTCTCTGTGAACCGTTATGTAAGAAAGAGCAAACCTTCAATAAATTTGTCCTTATCATCCAATTCTCGGGCATGAGTGCGCAATTTCTGAACTTCATACGAATTCCCGGATAGTGAGTTTCACATTACCGTTAACACTCATACAAGAGAGCACATATTGTCTCGTAATAACGAAANTTCGCTTGCGGACTAAAATCACGGAGTTTGCTGTTTGTTTGGTTTTGTTTGTATACAAGGGACTATGTTTTCTTACTCTCTGTGAACCGTTATGTAAGAAAGAGCAAACCTTCAATAAATTTGTCCTTATCATCCAATTCTCGGGTATGAGTGCGCAATTTCTGAACTTCATACGAATTCCCGGATAGTGAGTTTCACATTACCGTTAACACTCATACAAGAGAGCACATATTGTCTCGTAATAACGAAATCGTAAAGATAATGCGTAAGATTATGGCAATACAGGACGCCGATAGGGCGCTGCAACAATTGTGATTAACAAGCGCGTCGACTTAGCGCAGCACGCGCTGATTGCAGATACTACTAATTTCTGCGGTAGGTGGCTNCGGATAGTGAGTCTCACATTACCGTTAACACTCATATAAGAGAGCACATATTGTCTCGTAATAATGAAATCGTAAAGATAAGGCGTAAGATTATGGCAATACAGGGCGCCGATAGGGCACTGCAACAATTGTGATTAACAAGCGCGTCGACTAAGCACAGCACGCGCTGATTGCAGATATTACTAATTTCTCCGGTAGGTGGACCTGGCAACAACGGTCTCAATTTCGTCAGCTGTCATTATTTTCATGAAAAATGTCTACTTATGAGACTCCCAGAAAAGTGTAGTTTGTAGTTTTTCAATGCTGGATTTCACGGTAACACTCTTAAACATTACTGGGATGTGAGTACGCGGAACCCCTAATGAATGACATAAAATTGTCCCAGAAAATCACTGACAAACTGTAAACAAAATCTGCAAATGAACAGCCTTGACAAACACACCGGTGGTCAAAAAATCGCTCGGCTGGGAGATAAGACATTTATCTTATATATATGAAGCCCACTTAGGCGTTTTGCTCTTTGCGCTAATAAAACACAGAGTTGCTCTAAGTGCCTAACAGATGATAATAATAGTCAAGCAGCCTCGACGGTTTATTTTATATTTACCTAAACTGCTTTATCGTAAAGGCAAGGGGAGGAAGGGAGAGGTGACTGTCGATAAGACGGACAAATAAAAGGGACGGTAAAGAAATACAAGACGAGGGAATGAGAAAAATGTATAAAAGTGACGAAGGAAGGTAGAAATTGGATGAGGTATGAAGATACAAAATGAATTATCTTGACGGAGGGAATATATCTGCACGTGCGCTAAAATTCCGTAACCAGACGATGGAATATAAATGTAAAGCTATCCCTTTAACAGGCCATGGAGGCCCAAAGGGATGTGAGACGCCGAAGCTCCCACATTTTCTCTAGACAATCGACTCACAGATGGCGGTAAGGTTGTCAACCTTACGCGCCTGCCGCCCTTTACCCCCCAGGAAGATTCATGGTACTCATTTCCGTTAGAGGCTGGGTCGACCCCAGGGCCATAGTACGACTGGATTAGGTCAATTAAAAATCTATCTCATCGGGACTTGAACCCGCGACCTTCCGCCTTGCAGCACAGTGCCTCAACTAACTACGCTACCGCGCGGATGATGGAATATAGTTTATAAAATAAATTAAGAGGCTCTAATACTAGTACTTCACATAAAATATGCTCTTTAAAATTTTCTCACCATACAAAACTTCATGAACTACCGCCATGGCATCTGAAAGTAAATTTATATAATCTGTGTGTCCGTCATGTTGCTACTATTATCAATGGGGCTCAACAAAGGATTTGTGCACTACTTTAGAATTATTTGCTGTATTTATTCAAAATCATATACAAAATACAAGATGGCACTGAATCGCCCTATTCAACAGTCGGGCTGAAATAAGTTACATAATTTTCTCCATTAACGATTTCACGAATACCGTCTGGGTTGAATTCATTACACAACATTCGAGAACAAAGATACACATAGTTAGCATACCTTATCCTGCAACCGCAAACATGAAACTTTGGCCATCCCTTGCTCAAAAATGATGTGCTGACTGATGAACTTCACCACCACCTACTGTGCCTTACACGATTTGTCGCGTGTCGTACTTAGCCAGCGCACGTGGAAGTGACGTGCAGGAACGCATGCATTCTCATTTCACTTCCCATCCTTCACGCCATGCCTGCGAGATCCTAGACAAGCTTTTGTCTCATTCACTGTACGGCACTTCAGAATATGGAAGCCTGCAAAAGAATGTGACGTCGTAATTCTGCTTCCACCCATCTGCATCAATACACTTATAACGTCTTCACTTAGCACTTCTGAAATGCCAAAGTTACCCTCTTCAAAAGTTTCAGAACTCATATGGTCATTCACGACATAAAAAAACGTATGGGAAGGTCTCTGGTAAGTGTCCATTTCCGAAGCAAAAGTCCACGTATGAATACACTATAAACTCTCACGCGTATTACGTAATTTGACTGAAATACTCCGCCACCCCGATACTCTAACTTATTGCGTTGACTATTTTTGGACTGCAAAGACAATCGACCGAAGCAGACGGCAAAGATTTGCCCAGAAGATTAGCCACGAGTAAAAAAATAAAATTACGTAAAGGTAACTTGGAAGTAGAGACAGCTAAGAACGAACAGACCTATTTCATGGTTTTAAATTTACGAATATTTTAACTCGCCATATTACGGTCTTTGGTGACGTGATGCCGTGTGGTACAGTCACATACAGATGACTGTAATCTTGACACTTATCGCCGTGAGAACCGGATTTCACAAATTTCAAATACCCGTACTCATCCAGATGGACGAGTTAATGTTAACTACATGGCGTACAATATTTCCTGAGAACCCAACAGTCGCTCAACTAACGAATAAAGTTACGATTTAGAAATTACAAATGCAAAATTCCGAATGGCCAAAAAAAGTTCCATTAAGAGATCCATCCTTGCAGAAATTTCACTTTTAACTCCAACTTTCAGGCGTCGCCTCCTTAGTGACCTTGAAGAGTGAAATTCCTATTCAATATTGTGTCATATTTCATGAAAATTCTTTCGCCGGTTCAATCTAGAATGGTGGATCGCCTTCCTTGGGGGGGGGGCGGTGTTAGACATGGGTCCCTTTTGCTTTTTTTTTATTCATTTTCAGGAAATACTCTAAACCGAAAGTACTCAGAGCTTGCAATTCTCTGTTATATGCTTTAAAAATTATGGTATTCAGCCAAGTAACAGTGCACCAAAAAGGTATCGTTTCATCGTGAAGGATTTCTTATGTTTCGAGTAACTACTCCAGTTTTAGCTTACGTAGGTCAAGAGTAGGCAGCGTGTGACATATACTCCAGGGTGTAGTCGGCACGCGAGAAGATATTTTATGGCCCTCCGATCCAACCAACCGAGTTATAAAAATTAAATGAAATAAAAAGCAAACAAGTTTTCAAATTGTAAAGTACGAATTTACTTTTCGAGTAAAAAAGTAAAGGTAAATCTATCCCTGTAACAGGCCGTGGAGGCCAATACAGTCGTGAGATGTCGAGTGTCCCACATTTTCTAGACAATCGGTTCACAGATGGCGGTGAGGTCAGCATTATGTGCCGGCCGTCCTTTACCCCCAGGAAAATTCTTGGTACTCATTTCTGTCTGGGGCTAAGTCGACCCCAGGGACACAGCGCGGCTGGAATGATTAGGTCACCTAAAAATTATAATAACCTCATCGGGAATCGAACCGGCGACCTGCCGGTTTCCGGGCATATCATAAACTACACACGTGTGATGTGCTATGTGACAAACTAGCACTCTTGCAACAGTTTTAAAAATAAAAGGTTAATTAAATCAAGTAATAAATGTTTTTGTATAGAAAGACATGCTTGGTATACAATTTCCATACAGCATATGAAAATTAAGTACAAATCCAGATAAAACGGTGTTGGTAACCATGAGTGTTAATTCTCAAAATTTAAGACGTAAAAGCTGCCGATCCCTGACGTACTGTAGATCCAAGGAAGGTATTTTTCTTCTTAGGATACTCAAATTTCTTCAAATAACAGTGTACCCTCTATATCTACGGTATAGCAAGGGCACTGGGGACTATTAATACAACAAAAATTAATGATGCTTGATGCAACTTTTTGGTTGCGAAAATAATTAGAGAGAAAAATAATGTAATCATCGTGGAACTTACTTCACCAATAAAGGCGGGCACAGTTCTGGAGCCCAAATAAATCATCAAGCTTACAAATTGCTCATACAGGGCAGGGGGTCGCCCAATTCAAATTCGCGTACCACTTCCTTCGCAGCAGTTTCCGCATGCCAATCTACGCACATCTACGGGATCAAGCAATACAAATTCAATGTAGCAGATAAATCAGCACAGAAAACACAGACGCGATCTTAAAACAGATTTTATATAACAGTACGTCCAACTGGTAAGGGGGCCACCGCGTATTACAGATTATCAATACACTATATGTAGAAAAATGGAATAGGTAGGTCTACTGCATACTGTGATCGAATAGTCGCTAGAAGATGAAAGATCTAAGCTGGAGAACTACAGCAGTGATGGGATACTTTAAGAAGTCTTACCAATCGATATGAATTTGCAGTATATGGGATACACGGACAAATACTGTTGCCTAACTAATCTTGTAGCCTTAAAATAACACAAAATTTTAAATTAATTTACTATTATTTACATCTGCTTTAAATGATTCTTGTATATTACTTCTATGGGGCATACATCAAGGAGGAGAATCTAATTACTGTACTACTAATTGTCAGACTTTTGAATACGATTACTGCAGTTTATAAGTTCTGAGGTCTTCACTGACAAAAGTCCAGACTGTACTTTTCTGGGCTGTGACACCGTACAGCCCTGTAAGCTGCAGCGACGTACCACAGGAACATGTTTCCTCTCTCTCCGGTTTCCTTAGCTTGGAAAATGGAAAGAAAGATATACTTTCTAGGAGCGAGACTAAATAGCATCAGATACAGTTCTCGTTTCAGTGTCTCGTATGTTTCGTAAGTATCATTTACAAGATAAAACATGAATTATACTAACACTAACACTCCTGAGTAGTGCCTATCGAGCCTTCGAAATATTATCACTGGTTCCCTTCAAAATTTTCACGGATATCAACCGAAAAGAAAATTGTACAATAATGAGTAGGATACAACGATGTGTAAAATTTGAAAATTGTATATAAAGGTCGTTAACTACACTAGTTTATCGAAGAGTTGACGAATCATAGAAGTCGAGCTTGTGGGTCTGAGGTTGCGGGATGCCCTTTCCGATCTTAATGCCATACTGCGAATTTTTACTTTAGAGTGTGAACTTAAAATATTACGTTTCCGTACAGAGAGATGTCGAGTCTGAAGATCAGAAAAGAAATAATCCGGGTTACTTTCAAACTTATTTTGGAATTTGTTGGCAGGAACTGAGAAAACCCACAAAGATATCGGAATATCACTCTGGGGAGACTGGAACACGACATTTCTTGTATATGAAGCTGTGTTAACTTACTATCTAACGAATAGGCAGCAACTACTGACCTCAGCGTGAGGGAGGGGGCAACTACGGTGATGATGAGCATGGTGAAATGGCGCGGGAAGTGAAACAGAAAAAATATCCCAATAATTATTGCACAACACTATTTCCACATTGGCTGGCCACAGAGACATATGTGCTAGCCACTACCCCAACACTGCTGACATTTCGACATTCGCTATCCAAAATTTTACTTTCAAAATATACGTGTTAAAATGGGTCCGTTGTTCATTTCTTCAAAAATTCTTTACCGGGATCCTACAATGGCCATAAACAGTATTTCCCGACACTCAGATTTAACTCTGAAGGCACGTTTCAGGATTAAAAAGTAACCTCTGCCCTGATCATGACGACCTCGGCGCCCCTTTTTCTCAGAAACATCATCATTTGAGATGGGACTTTTTCATTAGAAGAGAACAAAAAATCGTAGATCACATGAAAGTGAGTCAACAAAAACGTCTGGAGACTATTAAATTCAGTAATAAGTTAAAAGCGAATACTGTAATAATAAATTCAAGTGGCAGTTGTTTCAAGTTCTCATAGCTTTCTTTCAGAGGTTAAGGATTATGCATCACCTCCCCCCCCAAAAAAACCAAAGTAAAAAGTCGCTGCGTAATCACATTATGAATTACTGATAGGCTTGTGTGATGGTTCATAGGTCAATGTTCCAATTTAGAAGATAAATAAATCGCAGAATATTTATACAAATTCGCATATACCTTTTGACCAATACTATTGGCACATCTGTATTACTGGCTGAAATCTGAGACATAACTTACAATTACACTTAAACAAAGATGCATGTTACTTTGACCTAACTCGAACACATTCATGAACCGTTTATGGTGATTTTCCGTTCTGGAAGTTACTCGATTTCTCTAAACTACTTCCGGCCACAAATGCTATCACGGAAGACAAGCCTTGGATTAACCACATCTGAAAATACGACGGTGAAACAGGACTGTCAGTCATTAATCCGACCGAGAGAGCGGTGAAGATGAAAACAGGAAAGACAGAGAGGCGCTCTGTGATGGTGTAACAAAATACGGGACACAGACAGCACATGCCACACCATCTCATCCTACAGAGAAACACATGTTCACTGCTACGCCGGTTTATCTACAGTTTGTTTGGCTTACAGTCCCCCAGATATAAAACAATCTCATATTATATCGCCAATACTCAGAGATACGGCGGTAATCCAAATGCGTACATTAGCTCGTTACGTTGTGCAAGGAGAAAGATAAACGAGAATGGGCCAATAATAATGCTTCATACTTACAGTCGTAAAGTACCGAGGTCGAATCTAAGTCGTGTTCCCGGCTATCCTGTCAGGGTTCTCCTATTTACCTCTCTCGAGGCGAATACCGTGCCGATTACAGAGGCCGCGCGGTCTCAGACATCAACCGTCTTCGCCCGCTCGAACACTGGAGTTTTGGGCTCGAATCCCACTCGAGCCATGGCTGTCTGTGTGCGTTTATTCTGTTTGTTTTGTTCTGTGTGTAGGTAGCGGCCTTGCAAAGGGCTGATCCCCCGTCCAAGGAGTCCTACCAAAAAGCGGCCAATGTCCAAAGCTCCCCCCCAAACGCACGCGCACAGAGGGGGGGGGCGAATACCCTGATAGCTGGTGTCTTCAGACAGGCCTTAGTTAGTTAGTTATTGGAGAGGGTGGGTTTCTCCATGCACTTGGACCTGTAGTGGTCCATTGTGCTTCCCTCTATGATTTCTACTAGTCTCTATATCCTACCGGTATTGGTGCTTACCATCAGTCCCGCCCAGCCAGCGAGACCGGCTCTACTAACTGAGAGGTATCTATAATGCTTCCCCCATCTACCAGAAGTATTAGTGACTGCTGTTGGGCGGGAAACGTCCGCAATTTTGGCTCAGTGACCTCCTTTGGAGATAACGTGCCGTAAAGCTACGACAGGGGACCCACGGCTTAAAGTCCCTCCCGGAGGACTTGTTCCCTGAATTTTTCCGCCCTTAAAAATTCGACGACCTCCGCCGGGTATTTGAACCCGCGTACTACGAGTCATGAGGTGGGAACGTTACCTCTAGACTACGGAGGCCGCTCAGACAGGCCTTACTTTACCCTCTTGATTACTTTTCCGCCTCACTGGATACTAAACAGGGTCTACCTTTAAGCCCTGAAACTTAAGCAGTGTCGATCAAGGCAAGATAAGTAACTTGTGCAACGTGTACATACCCGTCCACGGCAGGTTCGCAGAATACAGACCGTTTTATAAACTGCAGATCCTACCAGGTGATATAAAACGTCAGTAGAGACTACATAGGCTGAAGCGGAAAAAAAACATAGGTACTATGCGATAATCATATCACTGCATCTGTAAAATATGCTAAGTATGTGGTGTCTCACACGGGGCCACGCGGTAGCGTAGTTGGTTGAGGCACTATACCACAAGACGGAAGGTCGCGGATTCAAGTCCTGATGAGGTCACTGGATTTCTTTCAGTTGACCTAATCCTTCCAGCCGCACTATGGCCCTGGGGTCGACTCAGCCTCTAACAGACATGAGTACTAGGAATTAATGAAATAATTTTCCTGGGGAGTAAAGCGCGGCCGGCGCGTAATGCTGACAACCTTACCGCCATCTTTGAGCCGATTCTCTAGATAATGTGGGACCCTCGACGTCTCACAACCCTATAAGCCTTCACGGCCTGTTACAGGGATACCTTTACTTTACTTTACTTTTTTACGTGGTCTCACGCAAGTGTAAATGAGGAGTATATAACATCGTCTATAGTATACACGCTATGTAATTGCAGAGGGAGCGGGGGAACTTACCTTTCAGCACTTTCATTCTTAGTCTTTTTTTTTCAATGGATCTTCCAGCCCATTCAGGGCCCAGGCCTCTAATTCAGTTCCATAATCATTTTTCACAGACGGTAGGACTCCTTGGACGAGTGATCACCCCGTCGCAAGGCCGCTACCTAAACATAGGACAACACAAACACAAAATAAACGCATATACACACCAAACATCCATGCATTGAGTGGGATTCGAACCCACAATCCCAGCTTCCACGCGAGCGAAGACAGTTCATGCCGTAGACCACGAGGCCACTGTGACCGGCCCGTTCTTAAAGTGGCTGCGCCAATTCTGATGACAAAGCTTCGTTATATAAATATCTTTCGTAAAATAACTTAATAAAGAGATACAAAGCTAAATAAACGGATCAAATTATTCATTATCCAATGGGATATGAGACCAACATTTTCACGGTGAACTGTAGGGCAGCAAAATGAAAGAAATTACTTCCTCTTAACATCCCTAGTCAAGATCAACTACCGCTCGGCTACATTAACTTCCTAGGCGGTGAGGGGATATATTAACGTCGATGATGTGACATCTGACTACAGGGAAGTGAAGGGTAAGCACTGACCCATGAGCTGAATGCAGAAACCTGCCCTTCCTCTCACCACAAGACCTGAACTTTGCATATTTTCAGCATTTAAAGTTAACGTAACCAACTAATGGAACAGGATATTACGCAAGTGGCACCCACTACAGACGATCACTACAATCCATCTCCAGTGAGTAACTTTCAACTCTTTCCTCATGCCCCAAACTGTTATACCGAGGACTCAAATTGTTATGGATGAGATTTGTCTGGATCCTGTAATACCTTCACAAGCATACAAATATCATCCTGCTTATATTCAATACGGGAACTTCCATTCACATTCAAAATAATCAAGTTCAATTCCACCTCAGGACAGTGATATGAAATGTACAGAATGAGGTCTGTAGAGCGATGGGCAAGTTCTGGTTGACAGGGGTCTGGTCTTCCAGTATGATGTTGGGACTTTAATTGTTTCTTGCATCCTGTTGTGTATTTAATCAATATTAGAGTCAATTTTACCGACCACACAACATATTTTTATTATTATTACACTATATGTTTCGACCTCAAGAGGTCATCCTCAGGTGTACGAACACAGCTGTATAATTACACGCAATCACATTCGTCTTCTCACTTATTCGATCNATTATCCAGCTGTGTTCGTACACCTGAGGATGACCTCTTGAGGTCGAAACATGTAGTGTAATAATAATAATAATAATAATAATAATAATAATAATAATAATAATAATAATACTAATAAAATGTTGTGTGGTCGGTAAAATTGACTCTAATATTGATGATGTTGGGATTTTATATTCGCCACAAAGTCCACCTGCCTTTGTGGTCCACTCAGCCTGCTAATCAATGAGTAATATGGGCTCTTTCTCCAAATAATTCCAGTATATACTGACATGGTACTGAAATATACGTTGGCAATGTCTATTTTCTATTTCAAAGAAGAAGAAGTGGCAAAAAAATGTAACGCTACCCCTGTAACAGGCTGTGGAGGCCTATAGGGTCGTGAGATGTCGAGACTCCCACATTTTCTAGGACCGTCGGTTCACAGATGGTAGTGGGGTTGTCAGCCTTACACACCGGTCAGCCGCCCTTTAGCCCAAGGAAGATTCCTGGTACTCATTTCTGTTAGAGGCTGAGTCGACCCAGGGCCATAATGCAGCTGGAAGGATTAGGTCAATTGAAAAATCCAATGACCTCATAGGGAATCGAAGCCATGACCTTCCAGTTTCTGTAACCACCACAAACTTTGCAACTTAACAAAGTACATATTCAAAGTCAATTCTGTAACATCTACAATTTTATTACATTCCAATAAACCACACAGGTATAAATGATCATCATATTATGGAAAATAAAAAAAAGCATTAAAATAAAATTTATCAGCAAAACCGTATATTCCAGTGGACAACACTGTCCTGATATGAATATCCTATACCAAATAATGATTTCTGTTCGAAGTTTCATTTTCAATAAATTGTTGCTTCAACACACGAAGTCCAGACTACAATACATAAAATTCCAACAATAATCTTCACCTACCCAGATACACATACTGATGTTGATGTAGGAAGGAAATGATTATCATCCCATATTTGTGCTTTAAGCACCATGCTACTATGATGTATGGGGGACTGGAGGTAGAGCTCCACCAATCTTGAACTCAGCACTAGATGGAGGTAAGTGATCAGCTTCATGCTCTGGACGCTTTACTTCTGGGGAAAGAGTCCCCAGTACTCACTGGACAGAATGCTGGATGAGACCCAGAGCCAGTCTGGATGCTGCAGATTAGAGAAATATCTCCTGCTCTGCTGGGAACTGAACCTCTGGCCATCCAGCCTGTAGCCTGCTCCTATTACTGACTGGGCTACCCTTGCTCCACATATATCTCAATAAATCTTTAAAAACAAAATCCTCAATCAGTGAAGTGACCTGCTAGCCATGCCTTGGTCAGGGTTCTCCCTAAAAAGCTTAACCTCCCAGTGCAGGTTTGTGCAGAACACATATCAATTATATTTTACCATTTCAGATTTAAAATTATAACTATATCTTGGCATGGTACTTCTCCAAAGATACAATTAAGAATTCAAAAATAATTCAAGTTTTCCACATTTCTGCTGCACAATATAAACAGATACATAAAAAGAACAAAAACTCTTTGCGATCTGAGATTTTCACTGTGGTGAAGACTTTGATCATGGTATGCATCACTTGAAAATTTTTAAATTGTATAACAATTACATAGTACTGTATACACCAAACATTACTGCTATCTGTTGATGGTAACTTTGAAGTAGTAATTTAAAATAAAATAAAAAGATGTCAAAATTTACTTCAGAAAGAACCCCTCCTACAAAGAGTCACAGGGGAGGTATGAAAAATGTTTCATTTAATCAACAGCCAGTTGTGCCATAACATAAGACACAACATACACACACGACAATATCTGCATTGAGAAAGAGTGAAAAGATTAAGATGTATCATCTTATTGACCCAGGGGAAACTATTCTTGTTTGGTACTGCCAGGCAAAAAATCATTCCTCCTACAGGTTGCACCTTCCTTCCAAATGCTTGGAGTGGCTTGTTCCTTGAAACTGATCTTCTCGGTTTTATCTCAAGCCACTTCAGCACTGTCATCCACACTGCTGAAATTCACATCATTATACATGTTCTCATGCCGTATGGATGATTGCACACACTAATGCAAGTCTTCATTTCTCTCACTACCTTGAATGCGACTCGCCTCCATCTAGTACTGTCATAAAGAATGGTGGTACTACACCTTCACTCCCCAACATGTCATCATGATGTGGTGCTTAATTAAGCACAGGGACAATTCAACCTTATGTTCAATTTGCATACTAACAGAAGAATGAAACTGTCCAGTGACCCATTCTAAATCCTTTTCCTTTCATTTGTTCATGCATTTGCATCTCATTACACTGATTTTGCAACCTGTCATAACCAGGGCCCGGATTTTGACGACATGTCATCTTTTTTTCCTTGTACCCTATGAGATGCTCTTAAATATATAAATCTCGGATATGAGCTGCTGGTTACAGAAATGTAAATTTTATAGGCAATTTTTTGTCATTTTTTGACATTTTTAGGTTTAAGGTTATTTTTTTCATTTTTAGGGTAATTTTTTGGCAAATTTCTGGACTTTTAAGGGTATTTCTTGTCATTTTAGGGAATTTTTCTTCATATGTTTTCTGAAATGTGAATAACATGGAAGCGAAGTGTTCTTTCTTTTTTCCTTTAGATCATTTTTATGGATTTTTTCGGTCATTTTATAGGTATTTTTTTAATATTTTCAGGTCATCAAAATCTGGGCCCTGGTCATAACTAACCCAGCCTACAGCATATAGCAATGTACTGTTTAAATTGCTATGCTAAATATGCACCCTATCACACACTGATAAATATAAAAACCACATTATTTCAGTGCATAGCACCTTCTAGAGGGGTCATGCGATAGCACAGTTGGTTGAGGCACTATCCTACAAGCCGGAAGGTCATCGGTTCAGTTCCCAATAAGCTCAATGGATTTTTCAATTTACCTAATCCTTCCAGCCACACTATGGCCCTGGGGTGGAATCAGACCTTTAACAGAAATGAGTACCAGGAATCTTCCTAGGAATAAAGGGTGGCAGGTGTGTAAGGCTGACACCCTCGCTGCCATCTGTGAACTGACTGTCTAGAAAATGTAGCAGGCTCAACATCTCACAGCCCTATGGGCCTCCACAGTCTGTTACATGGCTAGCTTTACCTTTTTACCACTTTCTAGTCCACCTGTTCATTACATGGGTAATTAGTGGATAAGTTACTCACTACCTGCTGCCCATCCATGAACACAATATGCAGCACCTACTCAGTCATTATGGTTTGAAGGGGTCCGTTTCAAATTCCAACTGCATTTTTGTAACTATGAATGATGAAGTAGGACTGATAACACTAATGTTCTAGTTCACATATGAAATAACTTAAGACATAAAAATTACTGTCTTTAAGTAGTTACAAGTAACATAATTTTTCAATTTACAAATCCTGCAGATTCAGAATGTATTCAACTAACTATATAGTTAAGTAGTTACTATAGGATTCTGACGATGGTGTATAACACACTGATATATTGGGTTTCTGGACTTCATCCATCGTCCTGGTTTTTAAGATAACAAATAAAAACACAACGTTTCGGAAACTGGATCTGTTTCCGTCCTCAGGTGAAGGAAAAGGGAAACACCTATTCTGTTGGGTCCATTAGAAAGAGCTAGCCTCAGTCACTGGGTCCTTCACCTGAGGACGGAAACAGATCCAGTTTCCGAAACGTTGTGTTTTTATTTGTTATCTTAAAAACCAGGACGATGGATGAAGTCCAGAAACCCAATATATCAGTGTATATAGTTAAGGTATATAAAGGTATGTATAAAGGAATGTATCTGCATTATATAGTGCAGATACATTCCTCTCCACTCCAACCATAAACAGCAAATTTTAAATATTTAAACAATATGTACTGCATTTGACCATGCCATCTGATAGTCTATTTGAGAATAATCAGAGGTACTTGTCAAAATCCTGAATTCTTCAATTTGTACAGTTTTTCCATTGGCTAGACATAGGTCTAAAACACTTCCATTGTCCTTCAGCCATTTACAAATTTGATAAGAACGTCTGAAATCAAGGCAGAATTAAGTTATTTATAAACTTATTTCTGTCTTATAAATTCATAAAGATCAAACAATTAAATGTATAACTCTCACAAGAGGCATTCAACAGTAAAATCCTTAACACCAACAGGGCTGGAGGCAGTCATACTGTCTGCATTCTAAGCTCATTCATATCTAAAGTGACATGATTAGACTCGCTTCGGATACTGAGTCCATTAAACTTTATACAGTACATGCAGCTATATATAATTCGGTGAATTTGAGAAGACGTGAGAAAATTAGGTACAACAATTTACAAACTTATAACCTTCAAGAAAATCCTTCTTTCTCGACACCATTTCAGGATATCCCCGTTAACATCGGGCATACATCAAAGTTGCGGGGTCAGTTTCGAACATTTCAAGAGCATGACTTTATTTCTTTAATATTTATAGGCCCTAACTTCGAACTTCGACTCACAGGATACATGTCCTTAACAAAAAGACAGTAAATATTTCCACAAACTTTCAACCAGTTTCTGAAAAATACATTATACTTGTTCCTTTTTGTTTTAAAATGCAAAATACATTACATTTAATCAATGAGAACGGTAACGAGTGATTCACTTACTACAGGCCACTTCAGGAAGTGTCAAGGCGTGTGCGTAAAATTAAAAACTACTGAATAAATACTTACCAGACACACATATATCTACTACAGTTGTTAATCCATTTCTCAGGCACACCAGCTGTTAATGCACTGTCACCAGTAAGTCCTGTTAACGTCAAAAAATACAAAAACTGCACGCACAAACATAGAAAATGGCGTTACACACATAGGCCTACATCACCGCCTCCTAGCTTGAATGTTCCTCGTATGTCGGCAAAACGACGTATATAGCAGTTGTGTCCCACGAAACAGTCTCATAAGTCGCGTAAAATGTTCGTACATTGGAACACAGGCGTAGAGTAATCCACACTCATTGGACTGTTTTGAAACACGTGACGCGCTGACAAACGACAGAAATGGTGGAATGGCGGATGATGGGGAACAGGTTTGGTATATTAATATTACATTAGTGAATATTTACGATAAAAGATCATTTTTAATTAAAAGAATGATCTCCATCTCCGGAACACACACTTTCAGTTTTAAGTATCAGTGTAGTAAGATTCTGGAACGTCGTTCAGTGTCGTGTAATTTTGTGAAACAATTAAAAAGACTGTCTTTAACTATTTTCATTGTTTTAGGTACCCGCTATTACGGTAAAGGAGCCATTAGATCTCGTCCGGCTGAGTTTAGATGAGCGGATATACGTGAAAATGAGAAATGAAAGGGAGCTAAGGGGTAGACTTCATGTGAGTGTTTGCTTTGGAACAGGGCAAATGCAACTCCAGTATAGGGGCTTTTGACAGCACGAATCCTCACCAAGTACTAATGTATACACATAAACTATCAGTTCCCTTTGACTGTACGTAAATTGTGACTATAACAAGGATACTGTATAGTTATTTTAACCGCTAAAGTTAAGGAACATATTACAGTTCCAGTCACATGCTATACGTCCTGTCCATATCATTGCTTTTCATTTGATAAGCCTTATGCTTTAATTTCAGATAGAAAAAGCAGACCAGTTGTAACAGTTGCGAGCACTTCTGTTGATGCATCACTTCCTCATTTTTTTTTAGAACATTTACAGCACAGATGACAAAATAGGCGGTTCTTCTGTAGGAAAAGCATCGTGTGCTTATTATAACTTGGAGGAGAATTGATACCTTAGTGCAGAATTAGCACTGCCTCTTCATTCATCTATAGAACACTGTTGCTTTGCAAATTTCTGCAGTTGTTGGAGTGTTGTTGCTGAGTTACCATAGAAAAAATATATTGATGGATGGGATTTGGTGAAAATATAAATTTCAAATCTGTTTGTTCACCTACATGTATGATGGACTAATTCTGTCTCATTTATACTGGAATAAAATTATAAATAGTGAAATTTGTTTTTCATGTTTTAACATACAGTGTGTTGAACAAATTATTTTAATGCACAATATCTAACATTGCATAGTTTTTTATTTTAGTTTTTATGAATTTATTGTGTGCATATTATGTAACTAAGCAAAGTAGCAAAGCTGTAACAGTGTCCCACATTTGGAAACTGCATGGCTTGTATCCTGACATGGAAATGCCTATCTTAAGCAAGGTTTTCATGATTTTCCTTGGTGTTCAGTTTGAGGCACAGCATTAATGTTATTTTCATGCTGTATGTATTGAGTATATTCAAACAAAAGAATGTTGATTGCTTTTGTATGGATTTTGTCACTCATTTCAGAGAAATGGCAGTGAGTTTGTCTGAATAGGTCATGACTATTTATCTACAGCTTTAGCAGTCAGTTTAGTTCCCACACACCTTTCCTGTTCAAGTGACACATGACAACACAGATAACAGAACTTTGCATTAAAGTTATGTTGCTGTTCCTTTTGAATATTATTGGTTGAGGACCACTTTGAGTGCTCTGACTGTCATCTGTCATCCAGTCTAGTTCCCACACACCTTTCCTGTTCAAGTGACACATGACAACACAGATAACAGAACTTTGCATTAAAGTTATGTTGCTGTTCCTTTTGAATATTATTGGTTGAGGACCACTTTGAGTGCTCTAACTTTAGTCACTGTCATCGCTTCTCTTAACTTTTTGAAAGAAACCAAGATTCTCCACAGCTTTGTTAACTGACATTTACAGACTGCAACATAATTTGTGTTACTTTTCCCCTCGATTTTCAGTACTACATGCTATTTATGAAGAAAGGTAAGGTACATAATATTAATACTAGGACCAAATCTGATTTGCATCATCCATCATCTCATCTGTCAGTTTATCAGAAGGGAACATATTATACTGGGATTAACGTATTTAACAGTTTACCTGTTCCAATAAAGGATTTGTTCTATAATACAAAATGAAGATACAGATACAGTAACAACAGTCAGGTACATGTGGAAACTACTATTATTTTCAATTTTTCAGGCATATGATCAGCATTTGAATATGGTACTGGGAGATGCGGAAGAAACTGTTACCACAGTAGAAATTGATGAAGAAACCTACGAAGAAGTATATAAAACCACCAAACGCAACATTCCCATGCTGTTTGTACGTGGTGATGGAGTGATCCTTGTATCACCACCAATGAGAGCTGGTGTGTGAGCTCATAATGTTTCACTTTTGTTGTGCTGTATGATCATAACTGTATGTTACATGCCAAATTTTAGTACATTTCCTTTAACAGCAGAAGAAAGTGTATACCTATTTCTTATTGCTTGAAGGATTAAAGGACATGTTACTGAATCATAACTGCAGCTACAATAAAACATATTTTGTTCATAATACTTCTAGTTATTACTTCTTTGTTTGTTTGTTTGTTTGTGTATGTGTGTGTGTGTGTGTGTGTGGGGGGGTGCTTTTTGCCCTTCTAGTATTAAAGAATGGAGAATTCCACTTCTTTGTTCAGAGTACCCATTGGATGATGGTGGTGGCAAGTGTTGCACAGCGTGTCACGGGCTCAAACCACAGTGGCATCTTGATTTTTTCTCCAGTCACACAAAAAAGAAAATGGTAACATCTGTGTTGAAGGGCAGGGAAGATATGTTGAGAACTTTGCACTGGACACAATTAGTTTCAAAATTTAGTAATTTGGTATGGGAGATCAGTCCTGTCAATAATAAGAAATATGGCACAATAATGTGTTTTTAAATTTTCCTTCTGCAGTATAAATTGACCCATTTTCATTGTTCTTAAAATAAACAATTGACATTACATCAGTAAATAGACAGGACAAGATACAGGCAAGAAGGAAGAGGCACAGTTCAGAGCTTAAAAAATGTAATGCATATTTACAGATACTGGTATAAGGTGGTGATGGAAAGAAATTTTGTGTAAGAATTATTTTAGAGACTGAAAAATCTGCTCCCATGATTCATATAATCAGCCGAATTTAACACAGTGTAAGAAGTGCTGAGTGACTTGTAAGAATTATAAATACTTTGAACATCTGTTTCTGACATCAACTATTATATATGCCTTCATGCATAAATTTTTACTTTCAGATGTTCAGTTTGTTGGAGTATATTTCTGCTTTATTTTACCAGCTTATGAAGACTGATTAAAATATTTCAGCCTTCTGGGATGAACGTGGTGTGGTAGATATGTACCAGTGCTCACCCAGAATGTTGGTGCATGTTTGCCATACTACACAATGTCTGATCTGAGAAGACCCCAGACATGCTGTAGTACTTATCGCCTTGAAGGTCAGATCTCAAAAATAAACATGTTTGTAGGCGATACTAATATGAAATTTGTACATCAATGTTTTATTGTACAATGTGGCCCAGGTATGAGGCTGGTCCTTGGAAAACATGTCCATTGGCATTATACCAATCAGTGAACAAGGGAAGATTGAGAAATCACTGTCCCATACCATGTTCTGACACACTTTATTGAAAGACCAGCATTAAGCCTTAAGGTGTAAGTTGTTCCAGGTTTCAGGCTTCATTAACTATATACAGTATAGTTTGCTATTAAAGGGAACAAAAAAACATGACCACTTATTTTTAAATATGGTGGAATGTACATACATTTTTTATTATTATACATATTATATTATTATTGGCTCAGTTTTTCTGAGAAGCCACCCATGAACATCATGGAGACCCTGCCGTAACAGTTCTTCCCCAATAATTTCACGGACCTTAGTATGGTAGTCATTTAACCACAGGAGCTGAAACATAAAAAAGAGTATTATTAAACAATACAGATAAAAATACATGTTTTATATATACATCTGTTAAATATGTTCTCACCTCTTTTTTATTCATAATGTGTGGATTAATAAGGTTATTATCGTAGGGGACCAGAGTCACTGGTTTGAAAGTAAGATAATTTGAATCACTACCCAGCTGAAAAAGAAGAAAATGTGCACTTTATTTACCAGCTGTTTCATGTTTATGATTGCTTATGTTTAAGTTAACTTTGTAAGCTTAACTGTAAAGAGGTCATTAATTCTAAGTGGCAGTCATCACGTCGATTAGGAATCGTGTAGTGGACATGTATGTTTAGTCAGCATTACTGGGTTTTTGGACACTGCCCATCATCCAGCATTCTAAAAACTAGAAAATACAATGTTTTGGAAATTGGACCTGTTTCTGACTTCACGTGAGGGGGGAGACACCTACTCTGTTGGGTCCCTATGAAAGAGAATCTAAGATCCAGTGACCGAGGTTAGCTCTTTCTAAGTAGCCGTAACAGAGTAGGTGTCCCCCCCCCCACCTGAGGATGGAAACAGATACAGTTTCTGAAACATGTTTTCTACTTTTTAGAATACTGGACAATGGACAAAGTCCAAAAACCCTGTAATTCTGAGTGTTATACAACATTGTCAGAACCACAGCCTTGGTGATAGTTTTTATGATAAATTGTTATATAAGTTTATGCAGAGAGCTTGATACAAGGTTTAAAATACAATTGTCACATCTAAAACATAATGACTGAAAATGCTGCAGCCATGAATTGAAAAATGTACGCATGTTTTTACATCAAGGATCTAATTCAAACTAAATTACCAAGAATAGAAATATACAGCTATAAGAACTTTTCTGAAAATCTGTAGTGGATTACTGTCAGAATATTATTATTTTATTGCAATTCATGTAGTTTTTTAGGTTCTTAAAAAACAGAAGTCAGTACCTACTCCTCTTGAAGAATATAGGGTGGTCAAAAAATGTATGACTTTTAAACTTTTCTAAAATGGTAATGTTATGACATATTGCAAAATACAGTTTTAAAATATTACTCAGCTAGAGATGGATATCAAGAGAGCAAGGGGATGTTTGAGCTGAGCTCGATATCCAGTCATTCAAGTTCAGAGAGACTTCAGAAAGACTGATAGTGTTAACAAATACCTCTCCAGAAACAGGAATATGCTTGATGTCCAGTCATTCAAGTTCAGAAAGGCTTCAAAAAGACTCATAGTGTTCACAGTGTTAACTAATACCTCTCCAGAGACATAATACTCATGTGCACCAAATGAATCGTAAAACTGCTGGTTCAAAATTCACATCTTGCAGGAGGACCCAGAGACATAGTATGCCTGACAATATTATGTTTGTGAATGGTGTTGCTCAGTCTGACAATAAAACTATCACAGGCATTGCCCGTATAGGCATCAGTTCTTTGGACCTTGCTGAAAGATGTGTTATGCATGTTGCCTTACAAAATTCCGGTGGTTCAAGAAAACCATGTAGATGATGAATGGGCTACATGAAACTTGTAACACAGTTCTTCAAATTTTCTAGGATGATTAGGTTTAATGAGGGATAAATCATGTCCAGTGAAGTTTATTTCAAGCTTCTAGGTTATGTGAACAAACAGAAGAAAATTCTAACAGTACTACCAACAATTTTACAAAGTGAACATGTCACAGTGTACTGAGGAATATCAGGGTTCTGAGTCATTGTTCTTTCTCTCTTGTTTCTTGTATGCTATTAATGTCACAGCTTAAAATAATTATTTACAAGACTTAGTCTCACAGATGTTCTTCTCCCAAAACTGCTGTTTTTATATAAGTATTGCTATTATCTATTAAATTGTTCTTTCTGCCTGAAATATAAATGTGTCAAATGTTTCTGATCCATTATATATAATGGTGTGTTCTTGCAGTCCTGCATGTTACTGGTTGGCTGTTTTAATTTTATATACTATTTATAGACGATTTAGTTGTAAAATTAGTAATTCTTCTTTTATTGTACAGGCTACTTGATCACATTCATTTTCATTACTTTGTTGGAAAATATAATGGTAAAATCTTAGAAATCTGACCTTAATTATGCTGATTAGCTGATCATTAGGGACCGGATTTTAATGCAAGTGCATATTTCTTTCTTGCAACCAGAAAATATGCTTGTTTGGATATATGTATGAATTACTTCATTTCTTAAATTTTGGACATGGTTTGATGGTGCATATAAATGCATATTTTGCCTGTTCTATGAATAAGCATCATATTTTCGAAGATCTCTATTTATACTGCATATTTCATTTTTAAAATGATTTTATCATATATATTTTTCAATTTTACGTTCAAATTTTCAATCATGGTCGTGTTTATACAATTCTTCTTTTCCGTATTGGAATATGTTGCATATTTGACTCAACATTTCATCATGATTCATGTTTCTGATGCAATACCCAGGACGGGACTTCCCCGATCCCTCTACTCGTAAATTGCCTCACCCGCGTACCATCAAAGTGACCACGAAGAGATTAGTCGGAAGTGTTCACATGTAGCCACTATCAACGTAATACTATTCAACTGATAAGGGACTTCACTTATTTATTTCAGAAGTCTCCATGAGGTTCGTTACACTTCTTCATTTGAAGCTGGGGGCCATTCACATTAGTGGTGACTTGTCTGTAGTTAAGTTTGTTTAGCTTTCTGTAGTCATGCCGAAAGTGAAAGTAAGTCAGAAAACTAAATTACAGCTGTTTCAGCGGGAGTTCAGAGGAGAAATGATAAGTATGGATAACGAAATTCTTTATTGCTGAGCGTATGGGAAAACGGTTGTGAAAAACGCCTTCAAGTGCTTCAGCATTTGAACACTAATGTACACAAAGAGAATATTAAAATTAAATCCATTAAAAGTGCTCCTGTTTAAAAATTGCTCAGTGAATTTTCTAATAATACTGTTTCAGTTTTCCTTCGATTTATGCGAAGCCTTTTTTAGCGGCAGATATTCCGCCGTGGAAACTAACCAATCCTACTCTGAGAAACTTCATAGAGAAGTATACACAGTGCAAAGTGCCAGATGAATCTACTGTGCACAAAAATTACGGGAATCAGTGTTGAATTGTTACAATTGAAAGCATTAGAGATAAGATTCAAGATAATTTTGTGTGGGTATCAATCAACGAAACACAAGATTGTGAGGGACGGTTTATTGCAAATTTTATAGTTGGATCCCTTAATAAGAATGAACAATCTACCCCATATCTTCTTGTGGTAGATCAATTTGAAACCACAAATAGCCCCGCAGTTTCCGAATTTTTTGTCAATTCCATGAATTTACTATGGCCGAATGGCATTCAGTATGAGCGTGTATTGCTCTTTGTGACTGGTGCTGCAAGTTATATGATGAAAGCCGGTACTGCTCTTAAAGTGATATTTCCAAATATGACACATTTGACTTGCCTTGCCCATGGGTTGCACCATGTTGCAGAAACAATTCGTGCTAATTTTCCGCTTGTTGACAAGTTGGTGTCTTCTGTGAAAAAGGTATTTGTTAAAATGCCATACAGAAAAGAAGCATTTAAAGCAATAGCACCGAGTGTTCCACTTCCGCCAGAACCAATTTTAATGCACTGGGGCATGTTGCTGTGTGCAGCCAGTTATTATACCGAACATTTATAAACAGGAATATCGTGAATACATTTGATCCCAAAAGTGCAGCATCAATTCAAATTACCCAAGATGTACTCAAAAACGAAGAACTAGAAACTAATCTTTCCCATATATCTGCTCACTTCTCTCATCTTCCATCCGCCATTTCCTCACTGGAGGCAAGTAATAGCAATACTACTTTGTATCAGTCATTAAGTATGTTCAAAATAACTGTTTCCAAATTGAATTCAGTTCCTGGAAGAGTTGGTGAAGTAGTAAAGGAAAAAGTACACAGCATTCTTTCAAAAAATCCAGGATATGAACAAATTTGTGAAATTGAAGACATTTTAGCCAGTAAACATACTGAACTGCCAAGTAAAAATTCACTAACAGTTGAGCTAATAGCGGCTCTTGTACATGCGCCCCTAAGTTCCTGTGAGGTGGAAAGAAGTTTTTCCCCGCTATAAGGACATTTTACGAGACAATAGGAAGCGACTAACTATGGAGAACCTAAAACATTTAGTAATTGTGAACTGCAACAGAAGAGAAGTTGAAAGTTTGGAGAGCTAAATGTGAGTACCATTGGTTTTTTAAATTTGTAATGAAATATGTAGGCTTTGTTGCATGATTTGTATTTAAGTATAGCTTTCTATTGCAAGTGAATCATTCAGTGATTACATAAAATGAATTTAAATCTTGATTTGTTGGTCTTAAAATAATGTAAAATCAATTTCAGTATTTGGTGTATTTATTTATAAAATATATAAAAAATTATATATAAATATATACAATTTTATGTGTATATCTTGGAAGTTTTTCGTGCATTAATGCATACATATTTAAGGGATTATTAGGGCATAAAAATCCGGTCCCTACTGATAATTTTAATTTTACTCACTGTAACATTTGCTTTCACAACAGTCACTATATTCTCCAGCCTGATTCCAAACTCATTATCTTGGTAATATCCTGGTTCTGAAAAATTTTGCAAAGAATCAGTAAAACGTAAATGATTTTAGTAACACTCTGACATCATTAATAAAAGACATCAAGAAAGGAAATAAGAGCTGGTAAAAGAATTGAAAAAAAAAAAGCTTATGGGATGGCAAAAGAGACTGTAGACTTTCTGTACGTCAACCCGCTTAAAATGGAAATGATGCTGGAATAAGATGAAGATGATGATCAGTAGATAGTTGTGCCATGTAGTTACAGAAGAGTACAGTATAATATTTGAAAGAATAATGTACTGTGTTTCATTTTATTTTCAAAGCTGATAGTGCTTACCTTGTGAACCAAAGAAATTCTCATGATAGGTGGTGTTGAAGGCTGCAATAAAAGAATGGAAATAAACAGTCTACTTGTTATACTGCATTCATGACATTTCTAAGCCCAGGAAGAACTGACTTGTAGTTATTTCTGGTAAGCTGTAAGTATTTCATGCATAATAGTGGTAACTAACCTTCATGAACGCCAAGGCAAAAACCAATTCCATGAGTGCTGCCATGCCCATAGTTCAGTCCAAGTCTGTACAGTGGTGCCCTAATCAAGATCTCCAATGATGAGAGTGTCTGGCCCTCAGGGAATACAGTAGAAGCAATATCAATGCACCCCATTAGTAAGCTGGTATAGATTTCACGTTCTGTATCTGTGGGTGTGCCAAGATGTATTGTGCGTGTAACATCAGTAGTACCATCTATCAAAGAAAGAAATAGCATACAAAATTTTAGACAAGAATGGTTCACACATTATTTACAACATTTTGTGGATCTCTGTGAAACTACTGCGTCAACTTCTTAAAAGACATTCAGGTTAAGTGTTGAGATTGTAATTGAGCTTTGTAAGAGTAATATTCCCATTTATTATGAAGCTGGAAAGAAATTAGATAACACATGAAACTACACTGTCATGATATTTTGGAGTTTACCAAACCTCAGGAACTTGTTCTGTTATAAACTGTGTAAGGCATAATATTGCATTGATATTCAGAGATTTGACAGATTCTTGTTTGTAGTTTAATTTACCATATATATATCACCATATTCTCATACTTGATGTTTCAGTTAAAAAATTACCATTGGGATTACTGGTTTTTTTACTTTGTCCACCATCCATAATTCTAAGGAGCACAGCTTGTTGGAAACTGGGTCTCTTTTCAGAATGTTGTGTTCTTCAGAATACCAGATAATGAACAAAGACCAAAAACCCAGTAATCCCGAGTGTTACATACTATCATCAGATCCCTTTAGAATAAGAAATTACAACTTTAGTATCTTTATCCTTCATTAATGACTTGCTTTCAGCCTTAAATTTCCAAACAAACTGAGAAGTACTGCCATAGCAATATTAACCTCTTGTGTCCTAATAATAAGTCTCACTCATAAGCAAGGTGAGAGGCATAAATCTACTCCATCACTTACTCACCCTATGTAGATAATCTTACCAGTGGCATGGGTACTATAGATTGAGGGGGGGGGGATCAGCTCTGTTTGCCCATGATTCTGAGAGGGCATCCTTCTGTCTTCAGGCAGAGCAAATTTTACTGTAAATATTAATTTTTCCACTAATTTTTACTCCTGTTTCATAACAATTTTTGAACATCAGTATCCATATGTCATTTATTGTGTAATTACATCATGTATGTAAAGTAAGTAAAGATATCCCTGTAACAGGCCGTGGAGGCCCATAGGTTGTGAGATGTTGAGGCTCCCACATTTTCTAGACAGTCGACTCACAGATGGTGGTGAGGTTGTCAGCCTTACGTGCCGGCCACCCTTTACCCCCAGGAATATTCCTGGTACTCATTTCTGTTAGAGGGTGGGTTGAACCCAGCCATAGTATGGCTGGAAGGATTAGGTAAATTGAAAAAAAAAATCCACTGGATTGGGATTTGATCCCATGACCTTCTGGCTGGAATAATGTAAATTAAACACATTTGCATTTCCAAGTAGTTCTGCCTTTTCTAAAATAAAAGGAGTAAAGTAAAGGTAAAGCTACCCCTGTAACAGGCCATGAAGGCCCATAGGGTTGTGAGATGTTGAGGCTCCCACATTTTCTCTAGACAATCAGTTTGCAGATGGTGGTGAGGTTGTCACCATTATGCACCCGCTGTGCTTTACCCCCAGGAAGATTCTTGGTACTCATTTCTGTTTGAGGCTGAGTCGACCCCAGCTGGAAGGATTAGGTAAACTGAAAAATCCACCACATCAGGACNAGGCTGAGTCAACCCCAGGGCCATAGTGCAGCTGGAAGGATTCGGTAAACTGAAAAATCCACCTCACCGGGACTCGAACCTGCGACCTTCCTGCTTGTATCATAGTGCTTCAACCAAATACGCTACCATGTGCCCCCTAAAAGACGTGAGAAAGATCTCAGTTTGAATTATTAATGACAGGCATATGATCACTTTGGGAATATTTACAATTGGCACTGGGTGAAATGAGGATTGTGAGGTATAATCATGTAGGAATAAATTCTTGTGCTATACTCAGGCCCCCAGAAATGGTACTGCACTAATGAATCTTAATTTTCAATCTTTTATGAAAGGTTTTAATGCCATGCAGTATGCCACATGAAGAAGGGTATGAAGGATTAATATTTATGAAACATTTTCCTTCTCTACTTAATTGAGCATTTGGTGAATACTGTACCTAAATACTGCCCTCCAGAATCTAGCATGAAAACACTAGTATTATCAATAATTCTGTTTGTTTCAAATGTAGGTTCATAGTGTGGTAGTGCAGCATTGGGGCCAAATGCAGCAATGGTTCCAAAACTGGGTCCAAGACTCAATGATTGTGCAGTCCGTAATCGTTCGAGGGTACTAACAGCTGACAGCTCATCCCATATTTCTCCTGCTGCTACCTAATAACAAAGTATTATAACTTAAATAATTTTCATTCATGTAATTACCTTCAGTATTTAAATGGGCTAACACTGTGACAGCAGAACCTGAAGGTTCAATCCCATTAATACTAAACCACACTTTTACATGATTCAGATCAATTTCCATCCTCATAACTCACTTCCCCCAAGTTCAGTCTTAATTAATCCTTAATTTATCTTGGACTCTGAAGTGGCCATTTTTAAGAGGTCTCCCTACCGGAATTTTGTATGCATGCATTGTATCCCTTGTCTGAGTCACATTCACAACTCATCATAGCCTTCTAGATTTCACTATCCTGACAGTACTAGGTGATCTGTGTAAATCACCAAGTGTTTCATTACATATTATCCTATTTTGTGCACTTACCACCCTCCACCGAAGAGAAGATAAGGCAACTGGTATGTAGAACTGGTTGGCTTTTACTGTTCTACAATTCATTAGGGACATTCTGAGGTGAAATGTACTGACAGCTATGGAAAGAGCAGTAAATGTAGGATAGTACTTCATCTTCTTAGGTCAGGTATTCTTATGAATGCATTGTTTTCAAATATCTGTAATTTATGTTCTCCATCAAAGTAGGAGATCATGTTTCATACCCATTAAAAGAGATGGCAAAATTATTGTTTTATAGATCTTGATCATGAATGTATTGGAAGTTAGAAGGAATGATAATATTTTTGAACTAAATATTAAACATTTTCAGATATTATTATTTTAATTTAATTACAAATATTACATTTCTATTAGTTAGTGTTGTTTTGAGATACTTCAAGTTCTAAAACATTCACATGTGATTTGTTATACGTGGTAGAGTCATTAAGTTCGTGGAATGTTGTTTTAATCACATCATATTACAAGGTATTCACATACACTTACGCAGATCCACATCGGCCCTCAAAATAGTTGCTGTTGACCGCTATGCAAGTCTGCCAACGTTGATATAGCTGTCGAAATCATTGCTGAAACATATTGGCAGTAAATTCCCGTACGACGCTTTGCGGCCATTCCACGAACTTATTGACTGTGGTAGTAGTGGTCTACCTGTATTTTGACTGTTAAATTTGTTATAACTCACCCCATCTTCAAGCATACTTAAAAACTGGCACAATGCCACTGCATCTCGAACGTGTGCATTCTGCATTCCATGACCTTCTATGTCACTTTTGCTGTCTTTCATTAATAAAACGGGTGACACAGCAAACACTGCCTTTCCTTCTGGCACCTGCAGAAATGTATCAACACAAAATGCATTTAAAATGTATTCTAATCAGTGGTATCAGAATTGAGAAAACCACTTATATCCATAAGGAAGAACATAAAACTACATGGTCATATCTCAGCACCTTGCCTTTCCAGAATGTCAATCATGAATTATGTATCATTCCTATCTTCTGTATATGAATATTAGTGATGTAGGAAACCTGTGGGGAGCCAACCTTTTACTATAGAGAGCCATCTGTATTATCCGATTTAAGTACAAAGAAATTGTAACATTTAGAATTATCAAGTCTCCAGAAAGATAATGTAAAACATATAATAATAATGCTTTTTATTTTAAGTGGTGTGAAGATAAATCAATTTTAAAGGGTTGAAAGTCCCCATCAAGAGTCCCATAACCCCTGTCCAGTGAATGTTTGCAAATATGGCTTCATTAGCAAATGCAAATTTATGCCAGATTCTTCCTTAGTATTAAAGTTCAGAATCTTGCTTCTTGCTTGATTCTTCTCTTTCAGAAAAACTTGACTTTCCTACCTTCAAATGAAGTCCTAAATATAGACGTATAGCACTGCAAATGTTCTCTTATTACCGTGAAATAACTGTTTCCATGTAATTGTGACAGATCTGTTTATGAACAAGAAGTTCTGGGAAGAATTAATTGCCTCCGTTCCATGACATGACACAGACACATACAGCAATTCTTCTGTTGTTGCATGCATATTATTTGCTGCAGTAACGATTTTACCAAGCCATTGCCAAGCAACGATAACGGGATTTTCACTGAGCTGTTGCCTAGCAACAATAATGGGATCCACATAGACTGACTGGGGAGAGTTATGAAGTATGCTCTTGAGATGGGCTCACGTGCCATTATATATACACGTATACCATGTTTCATAAAGATTGTTTCAGCCATTCAGACGTTGATATGGGAGGATACACAGACAGCATGGAAATTCCATAAGCCTATATTCATTTTTTCAAAATAAGGAAACAGTCTAAAAATAATCTGAATAGTTTGCACTAGTATATGCCAAGTAACAAAAATGAACAATATTTTGTAAATAATGTTTTAACACCATCAGAAACAAGTTAAGTGCAGCGTTGTGTGTTCTTATTTCAGATTAAACATTTGAGTATTATATAAACTTTATCAGCAACCTAAAGCATTGAGTAAAGGTAAAAAGGTAAAGTTGTCCCTGTGCTTAACTAATTAAGCACTACACCATGAAGGCGTATGAGGAGTGGATGTATAGATCCACATTTTGTTGACTTCAGCACTAGTTGGAGATGAGTGGTCAGCTTCACGCCCCGGCCTCTTTACCCCCGAGGAAAGAGCCCCGGTACCCATCGTATAGGAGGCTGGGTGGACCCCAGAGCCGGTCTGGATGACATAGAATAGTGAAAATTCTTGCCTCGCCCGGACTCAAACTCCAACTCCTCCATCCTCCAGCTCATAGCCAGTTGCTATACTGACTGAGCTATCCCAGGTATCTCCCATAATTAAAAAGAAGAAAAATTATGTCTCATTCTGTTTAAATTAGGGCATTTCTTAACTTGGTACAGTTGTGCGTCAAAGGTAACTAGCCTTTTTGTATATCAAGTAGCTTGCACCTCTTGCATAACTAAAAGCAGATGGCAACCAGACTCTATCACCATCTTCCTTCAAATTTGGCAGGTCATCCCATATATCTGTGTAATTTTTAATCCTGTAATGAAAGTTAAAATTAGTTTATATTTTATTGAAGAAATGAACAATTATAAACCTATAAACCAACGCTTGCGTTGTCACGCTTGTTTGAATGTGGGCAGCTCCCACAAAATGTTAAATGCAAATTATGAAGCACAGTAGCCTTATGGATAGGTATGTCAGGAGTATTTATGTTGTGAACTAGAACAGTGATTATGAACCTTCCATCCCATATCCCATTGACCATTTTGTCAAGCCACCATAGCCTGATCATAGTAAAGACAAAGCTTCTCTTTTTTTCAGAAAGTCTTTTTACAGTTACTGTATATACATGTTAGAATTATATTGTCATGTGTTGGGGTACATGACTTATCAGATGGGTTTTGGATTGGATGATTGGATTTATTGCACCTTATATATTCACACAATTCAGGACTACAGGTAATACAGCGCTATCACTATTCTACACACTTTGCAGTTCAACGTTGAACACACACTAGGATTCTCGGTCTTCTCTAGTCATATCCTGGCAACAGATTTATCACAGTCTCACTGGCACTTCCTTTTACAGCCTAATTCCTTTCTTGCCACTATTCTGCAGCCGTCAATTCCAAAGACTCGACTCAATTCAATTCCAGGCTCATATTCCGGCATGCCCTTATCCTGAATCTCAACTCTTCACTTCGACTATTCTCTGCTGCTACTTCTCTCACTACATCATCCCATCTTCTGACTATGTCCTTCTATAACGCCTCAGCACGGGCCACACAGAAAAAACAGCCTTTACTGTTAAGGAAGCATGTTTACCAGCCCATTACCTAGCAATGAACATCCTGTTGCATATCTATGCTTTGTGGGTATGTATTTATTGAAATTATTATTTTTGGAACCTCACATGTGACCCAGGTGACCATTACATCTATCAATGTGATGCTTTGCACTGCTTGAGAAACATTTCTGATATCTTGACATGAATGTGTTAAATGTTAGATCACCCAGCTTTGCACTACATAAATATTTATTTCTCATAGCTCATGGGACCAATTCAGATGAGCTACAGTTAAATGAAATTAAATTAATTTATAGCACTGAATCATGCCAATAACACTACAATGTAGGCCTAATTATCATAATAAAGTCTAGGGTAATCAGTAATGTACACATCGGATTATAAATCCCCAACGATGGAGACAGGGATGGTCACCAAAACAGAAATGTATTCTCTGCTGACTCAGGTAATTGAGAAGACCTTTCCATTTAGTCACAATCAGTATTTAAAATTTTATAGAGGGTACTTACAACATTTCTTTTTCCTTATTAGAGTAAATTCTATTTATATGTCATTAATATAGAATGAAATGTATTACTAGAAGTATTTGCTAACATGCTAGTTTGTCAGATGTGCCTTACAGATCTGAAAATCCACGTTCAATGTCTGAATTCTTCATGTCAGCAGATGAATGGAAACTACAGAAGTTATTTTCATATGACATAACAAAACTGTCGTTTTTTTACATTAAAAGTTATTAAATTATTCCAAAGCTGCCTAGACAGAACACCATGGAGAGACATACATTTATGAAAATGGACGACACCTCATGTGAGGTGAAATAATATGCAACAAAATAACGTGGGTATAATAGAAACTTTAAAGGATTTTATCTGGTTTTACTTGAAAAGAGGACTACAGCATGTGATTTTAACACAAACTAAGACAGTGTAGCAGTTTTAACACAATTTCATAAAATAATTGTAACATATCAAGACACCTGAGGATGGTTGTTTGGGGCCGAAACATGTAGTGTCAAGGTGTATAATGTTAAACTAAAAATTGAGTGGTGAATGGAAGAGTGTTGCAATATTGACAGACGGTAAATAATGGATGTACATTTTTAATATCTATGTAAGTGTATGATATAAAGGATTTGTCAAGTGGAAAATAATTTTAGATTATATTTCCAGAACCAAGCCTCTTATACAATTGGTACCAGGGGCTATCTCCCCTGGGGTAAAGTAGCAGCGAGGTGAAGCTGACCACTCATTCCCATCTGGTACTGAGTTTAGAATGGTGGAGCTGTACCTCCAGTCCATATGTCTTCATGGTGTGGTGTTTAATTAATTAAGCTCAGAGATAACTTTGTCTTTACCTTTACCATTTATAAAGGCATACAATATTATGTGCAATCAGGAGTAAGGTAGACAGAATTATTGACATGTTTTCTTCAGCATAGATAAATTTAGTACATTACTGCAAAGAAAAATAAGTTTGTAAAAAATGATTGTCACACATAAAATAATAATTTCCACTTTACATTGGCTAATTATTTTTAAACATCTTACCTAACACTATCTGCCTCATTTCTGCCATTGGCATTTAGATGTGCTTCAACGTCTGGTGTAGATTTTCCGGGAGGTAGATACAATGTTGCCCATGTTAATCCCACTATCAAGTAGGACTGGAATACGGGTGTAAATGGGACATCAGCACCTCTCAGATTCATCAACCACGCAATTTCGTCCAGTGCCGTCAACACAAGGGCATTACAATTGTTATTGTCCATAGACTGACGAACTGCAGCAATCTTCTCCTGCCACGATAATCCTAAACCATTTTAAACAAAATTTTGACACAGAATTAAGGTAAGTATAATTGATGAAATTATATTAATTGCTGAAAATGTGGACTGAGTATCAGAGGAAATTGTAGAACTCCACACAACAAACACAAATCCAGCAATATAGCTAAATTGCAGTCGTGAGGGGAACACTTTATGATCTGATTGAGATTTTTATGGATTATTTAATGACACTGTCAGAAGCTAAACTATATAGCGTCGAATGGTAAGATGATACATAAATGATGTATTGGAAAAAATCTGGAAGGAAGCAGCAGTGACCTTATCAAGGTACGATCCCGGAATTTGTCTGGAGAGTCCGAAGGTAACCAAAAAAAAATTGGTTACGGTAGTTTGTGTCCCTACTGAGATTCAAACCTAGCACCTCCCGAATATGGGTCCAGAGCGCTACCGTTACACTTGCACCAACCCGTTTGGTTATATGGAAGTATACTTCTTTTGATAGAAGAGTGAATATGTTCCAGATTAAAAACGAGCAAATCATGTTACCTCGCCGATAAGTTTTCAGGTTGAAATATGATAATTTTTGTAAAAATTATTTTATTACAGTCTTAGTTAAAGAAGGATGATAAAATTTTCAAACTATTTTTGTGGATAATTATGGAATACTTCTTTAAAGAAGCTGAAGGAATTTCAATAAATATGGCCTTGGATAAATTTTGCACTTCTGATATCCTATATATTAAGTGTTCTGTAGATCAGGATGATGTGTGGATTGATGGATCCTAGGTCATTTAACGACGCTGTTAACCATTATTTAGCATCAACTCATATTAAAAGCTGATCACTTTCAGTGAACTTTGAAGGAGTGGAAGGAAAGGTCGTGGCCTATTTGAAGATACTATCTCGGTATAGGTCAGGAGGAGCTGAAGAACTCTAAGAAAATCTCGTTCAGAACGGTTGTTGGGCCGCTCGAGACTCGAATTGGACACCTACCAAATAAAAGAAAGCATTGCCGCTGGAGCTAACTTGCTGGATAAAATTGCATATGGATAATGCAGACGCCAGGAGTAAATTTGTAAGGAAAGAGTAATGAGTTAGTAATAATCAAATTTAAAATAATCTGAACGTTATTTTAGACCATCTTCTGCCCTAACATTAAGATATTCCCACAAAATTGGCGACTGCAAGTCGCTGAAGATAATTTCTGGGAATGTAGAAATAGATTTCGCTGCCAAAATTTCTGTGTTAAATATCGTAATTATGCAAGTGCAAAATTATTCATACACACAACCTTATCTCGACTTAAACTGTATAAATTATTTTGAAGATAACACACATTGCAAAATACATGACTCCTCTAAACGAATGTTTTTCCCTTTCATCAATGTCTCAATTCAGTTTGAACAGTGGTGAGACGTAAGACCTTCATTAAAACTTGCCTGTATATGATGTGTTTAATACGAAGAGAGGGTCAGAAGGATAAGGAGGTCGTCCTTCTTCAACACCCCATATCTTATCCACCAGATTAACTAAGAGGAGCTCCAGTCTCAATCCTGCTTTGGCTAGAATACATCAAAATCACAATTTTAACGTAACATTATTACCCTGAGATAAAATGATTATTAAATTTCCCCATCTTTTCTAGAAGTAATTGGTATTCGTGTTCCTACTCTGCGCTTAAGTAGGCTGCTTGTTCTACACGTATGTCCATTTGTGCCTTCACTCACGTTGCCTTTCAGTAACATCGGCTTCTGGCTAATCAGTTAGTAAATTTATAGATATTTTTAGAAACTTATTTCTTAATTTAAATAACCTCAATTTATACAGTCTTATTTGTTTGTTCGTGTTTCATTGCTGTTCTTTTGTTTTCTTTCGTGCTGAGTCTGGAATAGGCCCCTGGCTGTTGAGTTCAGCATGCAAATAAATAAAAAATTGGAGTGAACCGAACTATGATCCTCTGGGACGTGATTTTTGTAGTTTGGTAGATAGATATGAATATTGCGGACGAATCCTCTTCCTGGATCTTCAGGGTAGAAAAGTCTTGGTACCCATCCACCAAACTACATGGCATCACATTACAGAAGACAATAATTGGAATATTTATCACCGTGGAACTTCAGATTTTATAAAGTTTAATTAATTAAGATGTAAGAATATTAATTACATTATTATTTGCCTGTATTTTTATTTACAATAAAATTCTCTAAGATACAATTATCATACGACAAATTAAATTTGCTTCTTGTCAATTTAATAAATAATAAGATCAAAACCCAAGAAGCAGCGCATTTTATCACTGAACTCAGATCTGCTAGGATGGGGCTCGTTCCCTTAAAATAAAGCCAATTTCGAACGGTATAAACACTGGGACCGTCATCAAGTGGATTAGTAATGTTGATGTTATTCTGCCATTTTCCTAATGAATGTAAGAAAAATGGCTACATTGAATTTGGCTTTCTGTTTCCGTAGTTTCTGTCTAATAAGTTGCGGAACCGTTGAATTGATTTGTTCCTATTTTCTGGGAACAGTCCTGAATTTCGTGGAAGGTTCGTGAATTGAAAATGGAAAGAACCATATGCTATGGTCATTTATTTATATGAAAATAGTTTTTAATTTATTTCAAAACTTGTGGTAAAATATATCATCTAAAATCCTTCCCGGAAAAAAAAAGTCTTTGCCGAGAAAGCTTTGTGGCAGGCATCTCATCATAATGTTAGGTAGTCTACATGAAGTATAATTTGAAATATATCCCTCTCATAGAAATAATAGTATCTGAGTTTTCTGTGTGTGTCGTATGTAAACGTACGCTTAGCGGTCCACATTCTGAGTCGTCCTGCCAATTGCTAGGTTCATCCTTTAGTAATTAGTTCTGAACTGAAACAGGCCTGCAGACTTAATCAGTATTGGGTGAATAGTAATAAGAACAGAAAGCCATTATTTATAGAGGTAAAAACTAGTATAATGCTACTGATGATTCAAAGGGAATTCTCGTTATTTGTCACTCAAATTTAATACTACATGTATTTACTTCCCTCATCTTCTTCCGTATTCTTTTCAAGTCCTATACGTTATCGAATGTTGCGTCGAGGCTGATATTTAACACCATTTTTCACGAATATCACGCACAAATAGATGTTAACGCTTGATAATTCCTTGCTACGATAACCAGAAATTCCTCCATGGTAACGGTAAACCCCGCGCTAACAAAACTCTTTACAGACATAAAAGAATCATAGCCAGCGCTCGTACAGTATATTACAGTGGGTTCGAATCTCAATGGTGGCATGGATATATGTATGGGTTTATTCTCTATTTGTGTTGCCCTGTGAAGATAGGGGCATTGCATCAAGCCGATCCCCCAACCAAGAAGTCCTACCAAATACCAATAAATAAGATTTCGAAACCCATAAAAGAGGAGTTCATGGACAGCATTAATTTGTCGCCAGTATGAAGAGGAAAAATTATAGCGTGCTCTCTCTAAATAAATAAGTAAAGCATAAATGCTGCAATACCGACCATTTGGGATAAAGATGACGTGTATCAACGAAAATAACCACGGAAAAATACACTGTGTTATTCAGAATTGAGTTGTTGTTGTTGTTGTTGTTACTGTTGTTCTTGTTCTTTGGTTATTTTATAGTTATTTACCAATTGCTGAGAGATGCTGAACCAACGAAGAGTATCACAGACATCCTAACACTGCAACACGGTCACCAGTAGAAAGTAAAAAAAGAAAATCGTCGATCCAGTCATTTGTGGTCACATTTTGTTCAAGTACAAGAAATAATCACATAGCTAAAATTATCTATAAATGACCGAAGAATAATCATATCCTGAAAAACTAACACTATATTCCAAATAATATCCTAAATTATTAATTTAAAATAAAGATATCGTGACACTTCTCAACCGGAATATGCAAGTAATAACATAAAGATCTGAGAGTATTTAGGCTTTCAATTCCAAACGAAGACTGTTAGTTTCAAAATACAAATTTCTTTTCATAAATGAAGTAGAATAATATAAACTTACTGAAATAACTGTCCCAGTTAGTCCATTCTGTATATGAAATAATCCTAGAATCTGCAGAAATCAGGTCTCCAGGAAGCAACTCAGACAGCAGCCATTCTTGTATACTGGGAACCTGGAACAGTAAGAAAGCATCACTAACATCATTATCGTCATCATCATCACCACCAACACTATTACAATCGCAGTCATTATCTGTACATTTCATAATTCACAAATACTCCACCGTCTGACATACCTTTAAAGTTCTTGTAGATGTAACTGAGTTTTAAAACACAGAACACATGTAGAATGTCGCGGATTAATTGCCAGTTCGAATCCTGAATAACTGTTTTAGATTTTTTATTAAACATATTGCATGTACTAAACGGTAAGTAGGAGATTAAAATGTAAAAGCACAAACATGTTTGTGTTTACCTCTTTGTACCCAGACTTCATAAGCACCCAATTACAGTCGAGTTGATTTTCAGCCTGCAAATAATAGCGGCTGTCTGTCCAGAGTGCAGCACTGTGCAGGGTGACTACTGCATCACCGGCGCTTCCTGTAAAACCAGATAGGTAACCGCGACGCAGGTCATGACTTGCGACATATTCACTCTGAAACCAAGATATGAGACATTCTGAGAGAAATGTTTAATGTAAAATGTGCCGATACTCATTTTCAGTAGTATGTAGTTCACACATGCATAAAGAAACAGGCAAAGCCATCCCTGTAATAAGCCGTGAAGATCGAGGCTCCCAGATTTTCTAGAGAGTCGGCTCACAGATGGCGGTAAGGATATCAGCCTTACGCGCAGGCCGCCCTTTACCCCCCCCCTCAAGGAAGATCACTGGTACTATTTCTGTTAGAGGCTGAGTCGACCTCAGGGCCATAGTGAGGTTGGAAGGATCAGGTAAATTGAAGAAAAAAAAAAATCCAATGACCTCATCGGGAATCGTACCCGCGACCTTCCGGCTTGTAGCATAGTGCCTCAATCACCTACAGCGCAGTCGGTATGGCGACTGGTTACGGGCAAGACGACCAATTTATCGTAGTTCGAGTTCCGGTAGGGGTAAGAATTTTCTCTTCTTCATGTCGTCCAGACAGGTTCTGGGACCCACCCAGCCTCCTATCCAATGGGTACCGAGGTCTCTTTCCCTGGGGGTAAAGCGGTCAATTCGTGAAGCTGACCACACCACTCCAACTAGTGTCGAGGTCCAGAAAACGTGGATTTATATATACACTCCTCCATACGCCTTCATGGTGTGGTGCTTAATTAGTTAGGCAGTGAGACAACTTTACTTTACCTTGAGAAGAAACCGGAAATATTTCCAAACTATCACACTGACATAGTTATCTGAATTTATTACTGTATATTGTATAATTATTTTGTTTCTCTTTATTATAAATAAAAAAATGTTGAAGCACTTCAAGGATTTACACAGAATATTGTGTAAATCCCGCTTCTTCTCCGGACTTTCCGTATTCAAATCTCTTCACCACGAACGCCTATCCTAATATCTTCCACCGTTTCCCTCAGTCATTATAGATAAATGCTGCAACAACACATTTAAATAGGGCACAATAATTCCCTTTCACGTCCTTCCGAAGGCATCACTCAGTATTATCTTACCATTTGAGACTATGTATATAATCTGTGCATTCGAGAGACGTTGGTATACAATCCAAGAATACGCTTCAAGGACTTATTTAGCGTGCGTGAGTGTGAATTATTCCAGAAGTTTTTAGATACTTCTTTAAAGGACAACAATTCTTGAGCAAATACATTTCAACTTCTGCAAGCTGAAGAAAGGAATTCCCTGAGAAAATGTTCCGATATGCAATTAGTCACCTAAATTTATTGTTGTTGCACACTAAATGAAGACATGTATACTCTACCTGGTGATCATCGCCAGAAGTAATGATATATGCTGACAAGTTTGCCTGAATCATCTGCTGGCGAAGACGCTGGAGACGTTGCGTGGTGTCCACTCGGCCAGGAGGGCTGGTTTCACCAGATCCACAAGAATATCTATCGAATAGAGACCTGGTATTTTCATTACGTACCAGAACCAAATTTCCGGCATCCGGAGGGGTCTTGCAGGCCACCAAACCCACCAGCACTGTTAAAAATTAAAATATTCTTATTATGCTTGTACTTACTTACTCACTCACTCATGGAGCTGAGCCCTTCTTGAGGAGCCGCCAATTCTGTAGCTACTCAAGAATTTCACATCATTTTATGGAACCCGAAGCTTCATCACCGTGTTCACAAGAGACCTCCATTGGTCCCTTTCCTGAGCCAGATCATTCCAATCCATACCATTCTGTCTCTATACGATTCATTTTAATATTGTCCACCCACCTACGCCTTGGTCTTCCCAGTGGTCTCTTGCCTTCTGGCTTTCCCGCAAATATCCTATATGCATTCCTCTTCTCTCCCATTCCTGGTACATGCCCTGCCCACCTCATCCTCCTTGACTTGATCATTCTAATTATACTTGGTGAAGAGTACAAGTTACGAAGCTCCTCATTATGCAGCTTTCTACATCCTCCTGTCACTTCATCACTCTTCGGTACAATGCTTGTACACAAGACTTATTTTTTTAAGAAAATTTTGGTGAATTTGAGATATAGAATCTTCTCCTTGAGATCACAGTAATCCATTTCGAAATATACACTAGTAAACCAGCAGGGATATGCAACCAATTTAATGACATGAAGCTTTATTATTTTCTTCTAGGTCAGCTTCCTTCGGAAGCTTCAGCTTTCCGAAGGAAAGCTGAAATTTTCATACAATAATATATTCTGTTATTGTATTATTCTTTACTGAGGAGCCAGAATAGTGCAATCAGTATAGAGACTGAGACATGGGGTGGATGACGGAGGAATGAATGTTTGATTCCCTTTAGGGCATGAGATTTTTCTCTTGTGTACAGCGTCCAAACTGGCTCTGGGTTTCAGCAGCCTCTTATCCAATGAGATAGGAGGACGAAGCGCCCCGCATGTAAAATCTTCATACACAAGTAAGTTTACTTTTCCTGTACAATGTATTTTATTTTCCACGTTTCAAGAACGCATTAAATAGTTTCATATTCATCTTCTTGGTGAACTATTAAGCAATATGGCTGAAATATCCTGCTTCAGCAGAAATCCAATATATCTTAGTAAAGAAGAAATTTGAATTTTCTTCGAATCCTATCTTAGATTTTAATAAGAGTAGTTTATTAGTTAAAGCAAAGAATGTCGGTAAAGTTTGTCACTTTAGCAAGTGGAGAGTTTGCGTTTAATAAGAAGTAAACGACCTCTCAAATATTTATTGAATGTTTCGTTAAATTTGTCTTAATTTTATGTTAGTTTTAGTCAATCTAGAAGTGAATTCAAATGGATGTAGTGTCTTTATCTGTATGATGTATACGAAGTTGTGACTGGCCTAGGCTTTATCCAGCTATTTGTAAATCATTGTTATTTATTCTGATTGATTGTCTTAAGCGTATCAGGCTGATTACTAATCAGACTGATTAAATGATTAGATGTATATGTTTGAAGGCTGACATAAGGCGTATTGTGTAGTTGTTGTACAGATTATGTGACATGATTTTATCTTTAATATTAAAGTTCGTTTGCGATCGAAATACAAACATTAAAAAAAGAAGTGTCGAACTAAATGATTTCAATTTCAGCGTTTACCTTCATTCCATTGTTTTTCAACCGAATATCACAATCCTATTAGCAAGATACGTATGTATTCCCATAATTCCGTTTGTCCGTCGATTCAAACACAAATATTTTCAAAACTAATTTACAGATTTTTCATTAAAATCCGTATGAAAATTATGTCACCATATTCTTTCCCACTTCTTGCACCTTCTATATTTCTGTAATCTTAGTATCACCACGGATGTTATATAAACCAGAATGCAAAGTCTGAAATTTTTTATGGTAATAGAGCTTTGAGAACTATCTAGTACATATTAATGTGCACCATGCTTCCTAGGGAAATTCTAGTTAATAACATCATAGTTGCAGACTACACGCATTTCTCGTATCTTCCAAGCATGCCATAATTCACTCTCTCCTTCCTTGATTTATACATATTGTTAAGCTCCTTACGGTATTTACGCCAGCCTCCTGTTCTTTCCTCCGAAAACCCACATATTCTCCTAACAACTCGGTTTTCAAACGCCTTAAATCTGTAGTGTTTCCTTGGGACGAGAAACAAAGTTTCACTCTTATAAAAAGTAGGAAATATTATAATTGTATATACGTACATTAACCTTTATATCTGAAATAAGAAAAAGAAGACAGATGATTCTGAACTGAAATAATAACAAGACCCATATTACTAGTACAATAATGATTTTACGTATTTGTGCATAAGGCCATTTATCTGTATAGATGTCGATGTGTTGTACCGATTCCTAAATATAAATAAACAAAGTTCTTATTTTACATGCCTTGCATTCAACAAACATTTTAATTTTTTACCGACTAGATTTATTTTAAATAACACAAAGAGAGTTAAGCAAAGAACCAATTATGTGGTTCTGTGAAGAACACTAACGTAACAATAACATGACTCAAGAAACACACTTGTAAAATTCATAAAAGCTCTGTATTCTGAGAGCGAATATATTATCATCTCCAAGACGTACATAACTCATACCATTTTTATCATTAATCTATTGCATTATCATCTTAAGTGAACACTTAACTAGACAAACAGCAGATTAGATTACGTGTAGTATACTTATCTTGAGAAACATTTATCAAATTACAGATATTTAGATCAGCGTGAGTAGATCTGTTAGCCTGCATGTAACAGGGCCCAAAATATGCGAACTATTTCGACCGAATTGTTTCTTTCATCCTGTTGTGTATTTAATCAATATTAGAGT